AAGCGCAATTCTTAACAACTTAGATGTTCCTTCACCAGTCCTGGCATGCAGAGCAATAAATATTTGCTGCATGAATAAATTTAATATTAAATGAGTTGCCTAATTTTTATACCAAAAACATTCTCCCAAGAATCTTAACTACCACTTCAATCCCACTCACCAGAGGTAACGACATAAACAGTTTGGTGAATTTCTCTCTACATGTACATGAGAGAGTGAGAGAGAGAGATAGAGGGAGGGAGGGGGATACTATTTCTACTTGAAAATACAGTGGATATCTTACTACAGTTCTATATAATTCATTCCTTTTTAACAACTGCACAAACTTAATTTTCTAGATGCCTTCAGCAACCAACATATTGGCTGAAAGGAAACGATGGTACTAATAGCAACGTCTAACAGTTATTGAGCATTGTTCCGAATGCTTTATACATATACTACACATTAGTTACAGGTAGGTACTATCACTCGTGGGTCTCTTATAGATAAAGCAATTGAAATATATTACTTGCCCAAGGTCATAATGACTTGCCCGAAGTTAGACAGTAAGTAACAGGACAGAATTTTAAGACAGCAGTCTGTCTTTGGAGCCTGTGTTCTTAATTACAACTGCCAATGTGATGTTAAAAATATTAAAGATAAATTCTTATTAACAATGACTATTGGTATATACCAGATGGAAACATAATGGGACATCATGTTTTGGTTTTTTAAAATTATACCAGAACCTTCTATACTTAGTGGTGCTTTCAAAATAACCATATCAAGAGATTATACGTTCAATTTAGTCTACCATTAGTCCAAAACATTTGAATTAGTGAAAAATATGTAAATTTCCTTCACATATGTTTCATAGGCGAACAAGGAAAGTGATGTCAGTGCCTTACTGTTACCTTCTTTTATGGCCCAAAGCAGCTTTTTTCAAGTTTTACTACTCATTTTATTCACTAGACTTGGCACTAAATGATTTAGGGTCATTAAAAAAACTATATCCAGTCACACACACAAAAATAACCTGAATCACATTTAAAAAGTATATGACTCAGACTCTAAACTCAGATCCAACAGTTTTTAAATAATGACAGAATCTTTGGAATATATGTATAGTCTCTCAAGGTAACTATTATGATGAGGACAAAATTCAACTGTCTGGTTCAGATCAGTCTGCTAAAAGTTACTGCACTCAACAGGTTTATTTCATTTACTAATCCAGTAGCCAGTTCATGTCAACCACCAACTTATGCCCATATTGACTATTCTGTTCCCAAGCCAGTGATTTGATAGCTAGTATTCTAAGCACTGAATATCAAAATAGTGTTGCTGAACCAAATGGAGCACAAATCGTTTTTTATAACATTAGCCAGTTCCCTAATTTACTCTTTAAGATAAAGTGATTCTGCTCTAGCTGACAGCAACAGCAGAGACAAAATGGCAGCTTTAGGAGATGCTTTACCATTGACTGAATCTTATTAAACAAAGGATAACAGTAAAAACAGTGTATATACACACATATTCGATATTACTAAAGCACCAGCATCACTACCACCATTTTGAAGTGACGCCAGATAACATATTTCAGAAGATGGATCAGTGGAAGATCAGGTTTCACTTATCTGTCACTGAATTACTTTCTAGATCATGGTTTTGTTAAGTAAATCTTTCTTCTTAGAAAAACAATCATCTGCCTGAGCTCCATGTAATTCCATAGAATAGTAAAAATAACTGCTAAGTAAATGACAAACGGTCTTGCAAGACAGCCCTTAATATAAAGTCTAATGAGTGAACATTAGAAAATCAAATTTCCTGGCAATCTGTTAAGCATAATTATCTAACCAAGTCCTACTGCATTAAAAAAAAAAAATTGGTATTATTCAATCTAATAATTAGAGGAGTGGCTGGGAGTTATGTAGCAGACTTTCCTATAGTAAAATAATTCTAAAAGCACTGCCTTTTTGATTGTCTATATTTAATCCAACAGCTCATTTTCTGCCCCCCCTCGCCCCGGCCCGCCAAATCTATAAACATAAAATCTCAGTAAGGTATTTATTAATTAACATTTTTGCTTTGGCAATGCAACAGCCCTCTCATCAGCTCCATTTTTCCCAACCACTCGCAATCAGAGTAATGATGCTTGGATTTTAGCCAGAGCAAAGAATCAAGTCTATAATGACCTCATGTGGCAAAGGGCTATAACTACTGATTTAACTATGAAGTAATCATGGGCTTAAAATATTTTCGTTATTGAATTTTTATTTTCAAATTGCTATTTTAAATGGCTATTAAATAAATACTGCCTAGGGGTAGGAAGAAAAAAAGAATGACCTCAGATATAAGGAGCAGAGGTAACAAGTTGCTACTCATTAAAATAAAAGGAACCACCATGCTAGAGAGCCAAAATATTTGGGTTTAAGCTTTAATTTTTGTGGGATCTCGAGAACTCTCTTAGCCTCTCACATCTATAAAATGATGATAAATTTTGTCTACCATATTTTTAAGGCTAAAAGATGGTCATGTAAAAGGATTTTATAATATCTTGTATTTGTATGATGCTTTTATCCTATTTATGGTATTTACTATTCTATAACTAAAACATCTTTAAGCTCATCATAAAAACTAAACCAAAAACTAAAGTACTGTTACCTAGTTTGATTTCTAATTGGCACCTTTTATTCTACTGCAACGGACACTGATTGGTATGGTACTTATTTTATTCTAGGCATATAACTAAATTTAAATGAATTCAAAGAGTAGCCATATTGCTAATAAACTTCTTAGGATAGTCT